GTTATATATATATATATATATATATATATATATATATATATATATATATAACTACTTATGTATGTATGTATGTATGTATGTATGTATGTATATATTTGTTGTTAAATCTCTTACGTAAATTTTGAATTATCTTTTAATGCACCTTAATTCACACATTTTTTTTTTGGGAAAGTGGTTTTATTTTTAAATTAATTTAATATCCGAATAGTGTAACAATAAAAGTGCAACAATGTAACACTTAGAGTGTAACAGTATAACAATAACAGTGTAACAAGTTATGTATACAAAATATTGTACTATTACATTTTTGTCAAACATATAATTTCATTCAAAATAGTATATCTTCGTTTTGAATTTGTTACCATATACACAAAACTACTGAACTTTGTTTTTGTTACAGTGTATTTGTTACACTGTTATTATTACACTATTACACTATTTGGATATTAAATTAATTTAAAAATAAAAATAATTTTCCAAAAAAAAAAAATGCTTGAATTAAGGTGTATTAAATATAATTTGAAAACAAAATTACTTTTTTTTAAAAAAAATACGCATAAATTAAAGTGCATTAAAAATAATTCAAATTTTAGATAAGAGATTTAACAACAAGTGTATATATATATATATTAACAAATATACATGAATCAAGGTGCATTAAATACGTATTTATATGTATTAACAATCACACATGAATCAATGTGCATTAAAGATAACAGGTTTTGAATTAAACGATACTAAAATGGGCATTTATGTCTTTGTAACTTAACTATGTACTTTTTTCCAAAATATTTTGTTCTATATATTTTTTATTAAATAAGTCTAATTAGGTGTATCAATTTGAAAAGAATTTTTTTTTTGTCCTTTTTTTTTCTCGTGCCAGTAATACTCACTTCTTAACCACTCAGGCTCAANCTAAAATGGGCATTTATGTCTTTGTAACTTAACTATGTATTTTTTTTAAAAATATTTTGTTCTATATATTTTTTACTAAATAAGTCTAATTAGGTGTATCAATTTTTAAAGAATTTTTTTTTTGTCCTTTTTTTTTTCTCGGGCCAGTAATACTCACTTCTTAACCACTCAGGCTCAGGAATTGACTCGACCCTACACCGCCTTTGCGATGGAGAACCCATATCTGTTAGCCTGCGACCCAACAATTATGCTTATTATAATCGGGTGGAACTATTCTCACCCCTTAAATTTATTCAATTTTTACCTACCTTATTAGTTACTAAATTCACTATGTTTATATCCACTAATTAAAAATTAAATTCATTCAATTTTATGTCAACTTATTATATAGGTAATGATTAAAATTTTATTTCAATGTATGATTTCGGTACGAAAAATATTTCAGAAATAGAATAAAAATTAATAATTATTTTTAAAATATTAATCAAAATATGCTAAAATATCTTAAAATACCTCAAAATATTCTAAAAATATTGGTAAAAATATATCAAAATATTTCAAAACATATCAAAATAATATAGATTACCTCAAAAAATTGAAATTTCGATTCAATTACTATTTTTGTTTTGATTTTTTTTAACATATATTTAATAATTTAATTAAATAAATATAAATGAAGTGAACTTAATAACTAATAGGATAAGTACAAATGAGATGAAGTTAGTAATTTAAAATAAGGTGATTAAATAAAATAAAAAAACAAATTTAAGGGAGGGGAATAGCCCCACCCATTAGAATCTCAACCATACATGTCCAAGCTATTTCATCATCATTTGCCGATTGACAACAACAGGCCTGCCCACTTGCTTAATCTTTGGTCGCTAATGACTCTATGTTTGAACAAGTTATTCTCAAATCCGTCGCCAATAATATGATTTGTAGTTGTATTAATTCTAGGTACGGTACCAATAATAATACACTAACTAATTTTTTGGATTAAATTTGGAACTCAAATGACATGACAGTTGATTTTAACTTTTTTATTTGGTGTTATGTTATTTCGGTCCCAGTAAAATCTTCAAATAGTCAGTTATTATGTCATTTAGATTTTAAATTTAATCCAAAAATTTAGTTAATGTAGCATTACTCGGTACGATAAATGAATGGTCTTCTGCGGCAACTAGACACCCTTGAAACCTCTTGGCATGTCCGAGTGTCACACTACAAAACAATGCCCTCAATTGTTTATTTTTTATTTATTTCAATGGTTGGGGGTGTCAGGTCAGTTTATGAACATTTTGATTAATTTTTTTTTTGATCTGATAAAAAATAGACTTTCTATGACGGAATTAAGGTATTCATAATGGATAAATTTTTCATGATCTAACTATAAGAAACTATTAAAATTCAAACTCAAAAAGTCTAGGTTTACGACCCCAAATATCCTCAAATGTTCGGATTGTCTAGATTCCTCTCTCCTAGAGTTTTGTAAGAACTAATAAGCCAAAAACAGATGTTGCTGGGAATTGTGGGAGGGAGCTTAACTTGACTGCCGCACAAGTATTGTCAAAGGCGTGTGAGTTAAGAAAAATTGACTTAGCAATTTAATCCACGTGACCACCTAATTCTTTTAGATTAAATTAGTTTAATGATTACTTATTATTAAATTTGTGGCTCAAGTTATAAGGCTCGATCTTTGATAATTTTGTTACATGGTCATCTAATGCTAAAACGTCGTTTAACACCATATAATTTAAATAAATCAGTATCATGTAATAAGTGTTATTAAATTATGAAAAATAACTACAATAACCTCAGCATTCAACTACATGGTAACTTGCCAAGTAATTTTTAGTGGCTCAATATACAAGACTCCTGTTATTGCAGACTTTAGAAAGAGTTAGATGTATGTAATCTTATCTCTTGCATGTTAAGAGGTTTTTTTTTTTTTTTTTTTTTTTGTGATTTCAACCATTGACATTCATGCCACAATAAAACAACCTTATCAATACGTCAAGACCCACCTTATAACTTCTTTTTTTTGTTGTTTAAAAAAGGTGATTAGGGGCAACCAGAAGTAACAACTCCTCATGACTTTACCTTGAGGTTTCCATTCGCTATAAAATGTTTAGTTTGAGTCATAATTATTGATATAGGATAGTTGAGTCTGTCACCATAATATAACTGAGAGCAAGCTCGACATTCAACTCCTGCAATAGTTTATAGTTTACATGAATTACTACCGCAAGCAGATTCGAACCCATTGACTATTGGAGGAGGGCGAGAATTTTACCCTATACTAAAACCCAATTAGGACTAGGCTACCACCTTATAACTCGCCAAGCTTTTAGGGTCAAAGGTTTTTTTTTTTTTTTTTAAATCTTCATCATCCGTTGATCATGACATATAAGCCTATGTTCAATGCCCTGAATTTTATGCAACATTAAATGATTGGTTCAGGATTTCAATCATTGTTTGGAATGTCTTTTGTTGACAATTTCAACTTCAATTTAGCCACCTCACTTGATATTTCACTATCAGCAGGGATTTCTCCTGGACATTTCTGGGAACTGTGTGGCGAAGCTAAGCTTGGCTGTTTTGCTTCTTCATTCCTCTTTCCTTTTGAGGCTGAAAAGTCTTGTCCATGGTGCTTGACATGATCTTCAACTATAAATAGAGGCAAACCAAGAGATTGTTCATAGCAACAGATCATACAAAATATTCACTAGTGCCTGCTAAAGAAACTCGTCTCATAATTTCTGAGAGCTGTTTAAAAAACCCCCATGGCTATCTTTCCCAACTTGTTTAGTTGCTTCTCTGATTCTAGCAAGGTTGCATGTGATGGAGATGTCTCTGCACAAAATAGTCCAAGGAAATCGAAAACCAGTAATGATTCCAAGTCGAAGAGCAAGTATAAGACCAGCCCTCCAATCCTGATGACCTACTTCCCCGTTGGAACACAGTTTTCGCGCTTATGAAACACCATACATTTTTTTCGATCCATGTCATCTTTCACAAGGACTCTTAGTTCAACTCGAGTCATTTCTCAGTTGTAATATAATTCATTGTTATTCTTCCTTTTTTTTTTTATTAAGTATTGTTTGTTGTTTGATTATTCTCTCTCTTTAACTCTTTTTTGGGTTAAGTCTGTAAGTCGTATGACATGAAATTAATGTTGTACTCCTTGTTAAAACATCATTAAAATTTTTTATTATACCTTTTATATATATCTGAATTACTTTGTATTGTTACATACAAGCATTTTTTTCAGCATAATGAAAAACCCTTCAACGTATTGTTCATAATCTTGACTACAATGCAAATTGTAGATACATGAGATCAATTATACGAACCTAAGGTCTCATAATAGTAATTCTTTAAACCTTCCCATTCGATCTATTCTAACAGAATATAGAATTCTATGGCTGATTCAATATAGACCGAAACTTCATTTTATCTTGAGAACAGATTTGCGGAATTTTCAATGCACACCTTTCTATATAACTGATGAGGATAAATACTATTTTTAAGAAAGTCTTTTCGGACATGACTTGAAACAAATTTTAGTGTTGCAGTGCAATTCTTACGATCAAGTTTTCAACGGAGTGACGACCCCAAAAAAATATATTTCTCAAAAACAATTAAAGAAAATACCTATAAACGAAAGTGCTTAATTTGAAGTTTGAAGGTGCTTCATGGCCTCATGGGCTATGTTGACATCTGGCACACTCCCCATAAAAATATCAAAATAAGTGCTAGTTCTTTGAATTAATCGAATTTCAATCAATTCACATATAATTTAAAATTTCGGACTCGAAAACAAACTTGTTAGTTGATGAATTACATTTACCAAATTCACGGATGAATTTGATGATGCACAGAAGTGAATTTATGTACAACCAAATCAGTCGAGTGTGTGGTGGAGAGTAATTAATGAAATAGTTAATAATTAAAGACAAAGATTGGGTGGTTGAGTCTGAAGATCTAACCACTGAAGGAGACAATGGTGGCCGTAAAACTCTATTAATGAAAAAGAACAAGGTAGTAGGGAGGAGAGAGAGAGAAAGAAAGAAATAATACACTTTAGGTGAAATGTGTGAGATCTGCCGTCATGTGTAAGAGAGTTTACAATTTACAAGCATAAAACCCTAACTAAAGCAGTGACGCGAATGTCAAACTACTAATATATCGGGGATAATATTTATAGTTGGGGATAAACACTATCTTGGTGTAATGACTATTCCGATGATTGCTCAGTCATGTATGTTGACTTTTCTTAGACTCTTGAGTTTTGAATTGGACTGAGACCATAAGTTAAATCTGACCTTCCTTTTGATGACTTGAGCTCAACCCATAGACTGGGCTCAGACTTGATCTAGATTTGAGCTCCTCAGAATCCATTATAAATAAAAAAATATGACTCAATCTGTATAAACTCAATTCTAATTGTTTGATTGTGGATTATATTTCTATAATCCACCCATAAATCTATTGAAAAAAAAAATCTAACTAGATAATCATTGAGTTGAATTTTATGTGCAAAATATGATGTAACTAATTTGAATTTGAATTTGGATCAAAATAAAATCTGAATTATTAAGCATTGGATCAATTGGTCTAAGAGCAATGTTATTAGGATCTAATTTATTGACATAATTTACTCACTTAATTCACTGTGACTTTTGAATTAACCGTAATCTCATCAAATATTAGAATTTGGTATTGATCCAATAATTTTTATCAAACCACATCATTATATTAGCAAATTATGTCAAATTTTTAAGTTCAAATAACATTACTCATTCATCTAATTCTAAACTATTCACATATTGAATCCCAATAGTTATTCAAACCTAAAAAAAAAAAATCCCAATAGCTGAAAAAATTATAGATTTGTTATGCAAATTTATGTGTAAAATGATTATATAAGTATATGGAATTTTTAATACTACTAGTGACATGAAATTGAGTCAAAAGTGTTACAAGAATCCTTTCTTACCTATTCTCTGTTTGGTATGATAAAAAAAATAGAAGGATAGAAAATTGGAGGGATAAATAAAACATCATATTTGGTAAGGAAAAAAAATAGGAAGGATAAAAAAGTGGATGAATTAACTTTCTTTCTAACTCACTAAAATCAATCCTTCCAAAATCGGAATGAAATTGGATAGAAAGTTAATTATTTGTGTTGAAATATATCTTATTTGTTTATTAGTCATAACCCATGCTTGAAGGCACGATAAAATATAAAATTCGAGCGTCCAAAAAATCGATCCCACTATATTAAATTTTTTTAAACTATAATAACTATAAATTAATCAAATATTAAATGATTAAATATATGATAGAAATGAGTGATGTGATATTTTTAGAAAAAAAATATATAAATGATTAAATATGTGATAGAAATGAGTGATGTGATTTGATCTTTGAGTATGACAAAGGGATGATGAGTGATGTAAGTGATTGGTGATAGTTTTGAGGGAAAAAATATGACTGACATAAAATTCAAACACACTCCTGTTTTATTTTATATATATATATATATATATATATATTTTTTTTTTTATTTTTTTTTAAAAAAAAAAAATTAAAAAAAAATATTTTTTTAATCATCTTAATTAGGGTTGAAAATTTTCGACTCAACACGATGATACGATTCGAACTCGACATGAACTTGATTATAACTCGACATGTACTTGAAAATGATCTGACACACAAATAAGAAATATAAAAGGCTCATAATTTTATGACTCAATATGAATCTGACATGACACGACTCGATTGTCAATCTTAGCCAGCACAAAAAAAAAATAAAAAAAAATTATTCATTTTTATCTTTCATCCATCCAACCAAATACAAAAAAAGAAAAATATATAATTTATATTTTTCATCCTTGAAAAATAGAAAATACATCCCTCTTACTTTCCACCCTTCCTATCAAGCGGATCACTAATCTCCGGTATTAATTTCAGTTGCTTCCATCCATATTCACCTATCCCAATTCCTTACCTCCATGAACTTCCTAATATGAAACACGGAAAACAAACTCAAGTTTGAAACTGTCAACACTCAAGGCTTGGAAAAGTCAAGAGCAGTCACCTGATTTAATGTACTTTAATCAACTTCATTTGACAAACAATGAATTGATTATTATAAACGTGTATAATTATTTGCTTACTCAACCTTAACCCGATCTATTTATAAGCTTGTATAATTATTTATTTTTGACAATAAAAAGACTACCCATGTGTTTAATCTTCGATGTCGGTAATAATGTTAATTGCTTGGCCATTTTTATGTTTTCCAGCCATTTGTGACAAATGAATGGCCTTCTTCAACACCCTTTTGGATCTTCTTGGCATGTCAGTGTCACACTACAAATTAAAGCATGGTCCCCAAATAATCCAATTTTCTTTTAATGTCTAGATTCATCTTTCTTACCTAGATGTTTCTAAGAACTCAGCAACCTCCCCCCCCCCCCAACAGATTAGGAATTTGTTGTTCACTTTTCATGTGTATGACACTTGAACCATTGTTCCTTAAAAAAGCCCTTTTTTTGTTCTTGTAATCTTTTGGTTTTATTTTGTCATAATTGTGACACCACAAAATTCTTGAGTCTGTAATCACCCGATTGATCACCTATTAACCCGCGAAATACTCGTGGATACTATATAATTCGATACCACGTCGTTATGTCTTATTTACCGAGATCTATAACTTAACAAAATTTAGGCAGAGTTTTCTTTGTACGAGGAGCTCTACCCAAAATGCAACCTATACAATATTGACCACACCGGATCTATCCATCCATTCACAATTGTATAGTATTGAATACTACCATAATCATCATCATTACGTACATTCATTTATAAAAGAATAAATGTCTCAAAAGAGTCCCTTATACATGCCTTTTAAATATAAACAAATTTTTGTTACAAAAATTACACAAGACTAAAAGTAATTATAAACAAGGGACTACGATGTCAAAAGAAGAGCCATAAACCGGCTCTGTCGTCAAAACGGGCCCATGGCCTCGCCTTCGGTGGATGCTTGTGCAATACCTGAAAAGTATTCCCATAAAGGGTGAGTCAACGCTCAATAGGGTAACTCTTATAGAGAATACCTCATAACCTAAATGCATATAAAATGTCACATACAACAATCATTTCATGCAATCATTCAAATATGTCAATTATAAACAAATGTCATAAATCATGTCATGTCATGAGTTGAAACTCACGAACACAATACCAACACTGAGCCCCATCCTGAGCTCCTACAACACATGCAATGTCATGCGTATAAATTCGAGCATTTCAAATCCCGTCATTAGTGTTATGTACACTCAATGATTAATTAATTTATTTTCTTGTGTCTTTGTGGGGAGATGATTTATGGTATTACACCAATGGGACAACAACCATCAACAGATTCTCAGAACATTCCACCTGCGGCTTTGTTTTGGCCATTACACTTTTATGAAATTTCACCGCCGGAAAGTGTATAAACCAAGTAGGTGGGTCTTGCACCCGTGGGAGAATCTAGCCCTTTTTGCTATCTCCGACACGTTTATCCATTTAATTTTTCGTGTGACTTAGTCGGACTTTGGTGCGACTTTTTCGAGCCCACAATCAACCACCTATGTGGTGATTGATTTCATCCTATGCACACATTCCCACCCAGGTCAATTCCCATAACATTTCAATGTGCAATTGCCTTTAGTACCATTTACAATATCCATTACATAAAAAATACAATATAATGACATTTTTAACATGGCAACATGTTTATCAATTCTATAAACATAAGCACAAGTCCAACATAATAATTATATGCTAAATAATCATTTAACATATATATTATTCCATAATCACATAACAAGCTAATAATTTTATTACACTTAATATGTCATTTAAAATATAAAATAATGCTGATGTACAATTAACATGCTTTAAACCACTAACATTAACTTACACCAAGTTAATC